TAACAAAACATTTACTTTAATACTGAAGAATAAGTATATTAATATTTGAATAATTTTAAATATTTTAACAATTTAACTTCAGGTTAAAATTATGCACGAGATTATCTTTTCCCATTGAGGGTAATGAAAATATGCATGGAGATTATGTTAAACTATCTACACATGGAAAGGTCCAACCTATTACACAGAGAGAAACTAAATAGCATTCTTCATATAATGGCTCACAAATTTGTAGAAAGAACTTAGTAATAAGGTTGTATGCCAAAATAGTTGAATTCTTCATGCAAGTGTATAAGATGTATATGATAATTAACAAAACTTTGACCTTTGAACTCATTATGAAGTCGCATAAAGTTATTTCACCAGAGGATATTGAGTAATCTATTCATTTTACATTTTTCTTCTCCTAGAATGACAATTTAAATTTTATTTATGTATGTCAAGCTTGAAGGTAGAAATCTCAATTTGACACATAAATGCATTGGGTGAAAAGATATTTGAGAATTTGAAAAAAAAAGTGGAAAGAGTGAGACAGTCAAGTTATATTTTTCTTCTATAATTGACTCCCTATATGCACCGTTCGAAAAAAATTTTGAAATTTGAAAATAAATGGGAGAGAGATGTTTAAATTTTTTTTTAGGATTACACTACTTGTACATAAAAATAGGACTTAAGAAATTACATAAAATGATGTGGAGGGAAAAGATTGGATAAAAAGGTTAACTGTGTTTTAAATTGATAAATAATAGAATGACATGTGACATTATATAACCTATTATGTGTAACAAAATTATGCCCCTGTTTGATTCCCATTATGTAGAAAAATTAATGGGGGGAATAGTGTTTTTTTGAAAAATAAGTGGTTGAAAAAGAATGAAAAGTTTTCGATTTACGTGTAATTTTTTTTATGAAAAATTGTGTAGTTGAAAATATGAGAGAAAAAAATGAAATGTGATAGAATTTAATGAAATGGGGCTCAAACAAGGGCTATTTTTTTTTTTTTTCTATAATTGACTCATTATATGCACTGTTTGAAAAGATTTTTGAAATCTGAAAATAAATGAGAGAGAGAGAGAGATTTTTTTTTATTTTTTATTTTTTTCACAATCTCCATTGAAGGTGAATAAAGGGGGAGGAGAGACCAAAAATGTGGGATCATTTGCAGAGGCCTGGTCTAACAGGAATAGTATTAACCTGCCACAGAGTCACACCTGAGAGGTTTCAAAACGTGAAAAAATAAGATGTTCCTTGTGAATTTTGGATACTCTAAGTAACAGATATTTATTAGGACTTTCTTGAAGGAGTTCAGAATTTAAGGTTCAGTTATATCTACTTCTCTTATTCAATTCATACTTCCTTTTCGTTAATCAACACTTACAACTTCAAGTAACATTTCATATCCCAGTTACAACGTGGAATTTTCTATTCCCAAATTAAGTCGCTAACAAGTTATATAGTACTTCACATCGGCTAATCAATTCAGTATTCCTCACTCAAAAACATAAATTTTGTGTATTAATAAAAAATCACTGTTCGTCACTGTTCACAACAGCGATAAATAACCCGAGTTACCGTTCACAACACTATTCTCCTTTTTTCCGACATAATCCCGACCTTGAAGCAAGTAAGCATCAAGAAAACAACGATCAGGCTCCCATAAACAAACCAAATTTCAAAATTTTTATCATTATATTCAACATAATCCAATTCTGTACTATTTTTATGCAGAAAAGAATATAAATGGATTAAATCTATATCCAACCAAAACTTGGGAAAAAATATATATATAAGCCCTAACCAAAATCTTTAAAAGTCCCATGAATAGTGTAGAAATTACCTATCACTCATGGTTCTTCAATTGAATTTCTTCACTTGTTTACTCAGTGGTCCAATTTTCGAGAAGAGTGTGCAAAGGGTTTAAGCGAGAAGATTATGAGACTTAAAAAGTTTTCGTACGAAAGTGGCGGTAAAGTGGGGGAGATTTCGGTCTTTTCATTCACAAATTCTAATTATCAAAAATAAAAAGTAAAATTCCATGTTGACCGTAAAGAATACTCAACAGTCAACCCATGGTACCCACCAAATTACCTCGAAATATTCGAATTGTGTGTTTGATAAATATCTTAATTTTAAGGGTAAAACCACGGTCCTAATTTTAACATCAAATTATACTTTTAACTAATATAATATAGTAATTGGAGGTATTTTTGAAAACTTGACAATACGTAAATCTATGTGTAGATACAAAGTATAAAAATATAAAATTGCTACCATCGTTATATTTGCTATCACATGACCATCATTATAATTCTTAGTACAACACGAATTGGAATTACCATCGTTGTTACGTATGAGCAACACCTCACTCAAACATCACGCCGCACTCATTAGTCATTACGTAGAATCAGAAGAAATTCCTAAGAGTAAAAGGCATGGTTCTTCAATCCAATGGAGTGGCCATTTTAACTATAATCAAATCTCTTGAACCAAAACCTAATCGAAATCAGTTTAGCCAGGAACATGATATGCGATTCCAAGGATGATAATGATCTACGTGCTAAATAGTATTTGGAGACATTATGTGTATTGTGTGTTGTGCATGTATGTAAGTAGCTATTGGATGCCAATATTGAAATGTAGTATTGGATTCAAAATTTATTTCTTAATGAATAAGTTCACTGAAATACGGATGGTCATTTATACCGTTAGCTTATGTTCTTTTAAAATTGTTATGAGTAGAACATGCCCGATCCAAATCAACAATTTTGATTCTGGTTTGATTCCAGTACTTGTACGTAAAAAATGATTTCATTTAGAAAATACTCAAAATTTAATGGATGGTTTCTATTTTTGAAATATCTTCAGACAAGAGCCAAGTGAATTACATTTTCAAGCGGCAAAAAGAGTCCCTAGGTACATAAAAGGAAGTGAGAATTTGGGGATTTGGTTCAAGAGATCAGAGGACTTGGTTTTAACTGGTTAAACAGATAGTGACTGAGCAGGTTCAGCAAATGACATGAAGAGTACCTCGGGCTATGTGTTTTATGTTGGTTCAAACATTGTGTGCTGGAATTCGATGAAGCAGAAGACTTTGGCACAATCAACAGCTGAAGCAGAGTATATAGCAGCATCTAAGCCGACAAACCAAGCTGTTTGGTTAAGGAAAATGTTGGAGGATCTTGGACACATACAATTTGATGCAACGGTCACTTATTGTGACAACAAATCAATGGTTGCAATGGTAAAAAATCCAGTATTCCATGAGAGAACAAAACACATAGAAATTAAGTATCATTCAATTAGGGAAGCTCAAGAGAGACTGGAAATGAAGCTTGTGCATTGCAATTCAAGTGAGCAATATGCCGATATCTTAACAAAAGCTTTGTCCAAAGGAAGGTTCGAAACATTGAGGAGTTGCCTTGGTGTTTCCAGCAAAAGTCTCAAGGAGGAATGTTAATGCTAGTTGATACTTTTGTTGTCCAAAGATAGTGTATTTTGTAGTACTTATTTGGAGTATATTTTAATGTATTTGTGTATTGAAAAATCTGTCAAAGTATGGCCATATGTAATGCTATATAATCTGTCTAAAAGTATGGCAATGACAGGTAGGTAGTGGTTGATGAAAATGGTCAGAACACTTTTGCTATATATTTTCTAATGTACTAGCCAAGTATAGAAGTTGTATATTGAATATTATTTCAGAAAATCATTATCATTCTTCTTAGTTACTCAATTTATCTATCAAATTGAATGAAAATTTCATGGATTGATCATCAACTGCCTTCATCGATAGTTCTTCTTTCATAAGTAGGGAATAAAACCAACTCCTTTCCACAAAAGTCATTTCATTGGGCCTCTTCATGCCTTGTTTAGAGTCAACGTGCAAGTCTTCAAGCACGTGTTGGTACATGCATAGCGTTCCCTTGTTCTAGCTAGTTCAAGATGACGGCTGTATATAATGTATGACTATAGCTTATTTCGACTGTGGAGACGGGATTAAAAAATGAAAATAAGATAACACGATGTTCATTGCACTTTCTAGAAGAGGTAGACATGTTAAGCTAAACAGAATAAAAAAAAATTAGGAATCAAAATCAAGAGTAAAAAAAAAAAAAAAAAAAAAAAAAAAAAAAATTAGGAATCAAAATCAAGAATCGACCAGATTCCAGCGGTTCTTGAATCTTGTTCTGGAACCGAATTTGTGCTTTTCTATAATTTTTTAAAATTTTTATAGTTTATTCACCCTGACCCAAAAACCCAATGGGTAAATGATTCGATGGAATGGAAAGCAAAGTCAATAATATTGATTGTTATGTTACTCTCGGATGAATGAATTTATGTTGTTTTTAGCAATTGTAAAATCTGGTACTTTTTTATTGTGAATTTCTAATTTTTGGTTTGTTTTTAATTTGACAGTTATGCTCTGAAGTGTAATGGGTAGTTTTTAGCATTAAAATATCGTAGCCAATCCACCCAATGCACAAGCCTACTCCTAGTATTCTTTATACCAGACATACACATAATATTTATACGAGAAGAACCTCTTTATGTTCGTCCTTGAGATTCACCCTCTCCATTGAGCTTCGCGAACGTAATTGGCACATATGATCTGGATATAAAGCGCACACATTTTTGCACAATATGATAAACATCAGAAGCAATTTTGTGATGAATCTTTTAACCACCATAGAAATCTTTAATTCGAGTTTCCAAAGCTTGATTATTTCCCCACAGAAATTTCATTGAATAATGAAAGCAAACAAAAAGATTAACTAACCCATTAAACGTACAATAATTCTTCCTTAACTGCACAAGGATCCAATACTGATAATAACAACAATTATGAAGATAAATTTCCATTCAACAATGCTTTTGCCTCATATTTGCTTCCGTCATAGAGCAATTTGTCCAAGAACAAATTGAATTAAAACAAATATAGAATGAAATAAATTTTAAAATAGACGCATCAAGAACTAATTATTCATTGAAGCAATTAGAGAGAAGGCAATGGTGAAACCTGTATTGAATATTAATGGCTTGCGAGGGGAAATCGAAATTGAAATTTGATTGTGTGTACACATTATCTACACAGTTTGTTATGGGATCTCTTGTCAATACTATCCTGTCTGTATCTATTCCTGATTTCAAAAGTAAACATAATAAACTCTAGTACTATAGGTGGGTGGACAACATCCAGCAGGACTGACTAAATGTAAATGACGACCTAGGACTAAATTATACATTGTAAGTTGAACTGACGGAGCACATCCGAGATTTAAGCATGTATTGCATGTTTGAAGGTTTACGGTTGTGCCTTCTCTGGAAGCCGAGATAGTTCTTTATCAGCGAAATGTAGAAGCCTTCTCAGTCGTAAAACCATATCACAATGGAAAGGCAAAGCTGATCTTCTTTCCAAGTAAGCTGGACTTACAGTCATCCATGATAACGCGTGAAGTTCTGCTGCTATAGATTCAAGAATTAGACGAGTCTCTACCTCGAACTCTTTGGCATCAGAGCTCGAACCCCTTCCTGACGGTTTGACAGAACCCTTCCCCACTTTTTCTTGGGTGATGTTATTACCTCCATAATAATCGACTAAAGTGACAGAAAGAGCTGAAGGCCATTCTTCTTTTGACGGGTTCCTAGAATCCTTTCTCATCGATGGTACAGCCTTTGAAACTACAAACCCTGTGGACAGGGGAACTGCAGAACCTTTGCTGTGTAGAAGATGGGCAAGTGGTGGGGATTCGGCAGTGAGACATGTAGGGAGCTGAAGAATTGCGGGAGGGAGAAAACGCATGCTCCTTGAAGGGATTAAGATGTAGGATGCAGAGGTCGTACCAAGGGATTTAACAGGAGTGTAACCTTCAAGATAGCCAGGCGGACCACTGCCTTGAATTGCCCCTGCAAAAAAGCAACTCCTACATTAGACAGCACTGTCAAATCGATACTTCTTGTAGCAAATAAAATAGGCACAAACATGCTACAGTCAACAACTGACTCTGAAACCCCTTGACAGAGGCTGCATCAATACATGCAGCAAAAGTCGTCGATGAGACAAAATCTACAAATTTTTGCTCCAACATTAACTTACTAATACAAATAAAAACACCATCAAAAACTTTCCAACTTGTTTCTATGTACTTCAAATGTATTCATGATTAAACTTACTAGAATTTGCAGAGAGCGTCCAAGTAAAATATTAATTCCCAGCGTGAAACCTGCACCTACGATGCTTGCTTGATGTTAATTGACCAGAACACTCAGAGCTACTATTGAGCTTTTGAAACGTCCATACTCCATTATCACACAGTGAAACACGTATAGTTATCAGTTAAAAAGGGGTTTGACTCTCAAAAGTACCGGTGTGGTGTCAAAATTGACACATGGAGTTCCAGAAATGATCTAATTTTTCACTAAATAGAAGGATTCTGATAATGGCAGAACAGTTTTGAATTGGAACGGTCAATTTTCTGTCAGACCAAAAAAAATTGGTTGCACTCTTAATTGAAGTAAAATAATACCAGACATGATATAGAGAGAAATAAACAAATATTATCCCGGAAGGAAGTTCAAAAGAATATATGTTAATAAAGTAACCGCCTCCTAAGAAGTCACCGCCCATGCCACCACTACTGCACTTCATATCATTTTATAGCCACCACCAATCCCCAAACACAGCTTAACTAACCTGTTCTACCCAGCCCCACCTGAACTTTATAACCCAATCATAGAAAGCATATTAATATTTACCAGAAGATGAATCTGCATGAAACATTGGCTGCAAGGAATGATCAATTGAAACTGAGACGAAACTAATGCTTTGCACCCATTGCAGCAAGCCCCTTGAATTGTCCACCGCTGGATGTCCACCCACTAACTGCTTTCTCGAGGAGGGTTGTCCCATACCACCTTTCCCAAAAACAGATGCCTTTGAGTGAGCACCATACAATGGACTTTCTGAGGAGGGAAGTGTTCTCTCTTGCATTAAGCTTACATCTTGCTGCTGCAACGGGGTTCCATTGCTACTAGCTGGCATCCCATTATCAGGAAGGGATCGTCGTAGCTGCAGAGACCACTTTTTCACCTCGGATCCCCCAATTGCGTACAGAGCTTTTTGCCACTCTGCAGAGAGACCTAGCTTTGTTAAGATCAAGAATGAAAAGTAAAAGGCATATACCAGTGAAACTACAATCTACAATCCCACTTTAAATTTCCTTCAACTAGTTAGCCATGTCATGAGAATGACAATTACAAATGCGGGTAAAATTTTAGTAAGCTTAAAAAATAATCACCAGGCTGAACACACAAGCCTAAAAGACGATCATTTGTCTGATACCATTGAAGATAACGACCAGTATATGCATAAGGGCCACGGTGCCAACTCCAAAGTATAAGCCAACTATTTTGGCATCAAAATTGCAAAGAAGTGTCTCCTAATGGGGTTCTTCTACCACAATTTAAAGAGAAATGATATAAAGAGAAATGATATGGGTTAAATCAGACTGAAGATTTGAAAGAAAAAAAAATTGAACAGCCTCACTGTAACATGACTGACAAAAAAATAAATTGAACAGCCTCACTGTAACATGACTGACAAACTCCTCAACCCCGAGATAGAGAAAAGCAACTAAAAGTGAAAAGCTGGAAAAGTATAATTAAAATGGAAGCTTTTCACATACCCTGGCACTCAAGCTCGAAGAAGCATCCAATTCTTGTTATTACAAAATCTCTAGGCTTTGCAATACCACCATCTGGAGAACAAGCCTGAAGTATTTGACAGCCCTGTTGCAGGATTTGGATAAGAAGGGACTGAAGACCCTTTGTGTCTTGCCGACTGCTGACTCCTCCGAAGGGGTACACATAGCTGTCAAGCAATTCGCCCCTCGAATCCGTCCAAATGCACACCAACCAACGCCAATCCTCAGTCCATCCATAGCAGCAATGCAGGCTTGGGAGTGTCTTTTGATGGCCAGATCCAAATGCATCTGGATCCAGTGCATCAGGTTGTGCATTAGGACCAGCATCTCCACATCCTGAAGAAGCTGAACTATGCATAAAGCTAGTACTTCCACAATCATCAGATAAAAGCTTTGAAGACTCAGAAGCTACATTACCAAAGAAAGGTGAAAGTCCGTGCTCTAAGGATCCAGGTTCAGCAAGTATAAAAAGAGGCTCAAACAAACAACGGATCTCATCTTGAGGATATACATCTGCAGTTCTGCTTGGGTCACATCCAACTCCACCACCTCTTGATGTTTGCCAAGAGTTATCCCAAGTACCTGGCCTCAAGGTAGCATCAAGTTCACTCCCTCTTCGGTGAGGAGGTCCCACATTTCGAGGACCAACATAGTCTTTCCACATTCCTGGAACAGGTGAAGTCATTTGCATCAAGACAGAATGAGATCTCCCTGATGTGGATGATGGAATTGTGTCACCAGAGGCTGATCGTGAAATTCGCCTAGCTTTATTGTAAACAGTGAAAGCAATTTCCTTCAGAGTGACAAGCTCAGAAAGACTGGGACTTGTGACCCTGAAAATGGCATCAACTGTCACAACCTGCAATACCAACTTAGGCACGCTAAACCCTGTTAGGGTTAGAACATTTGAAAATGATTCGTCCACAGCTGCTGAGTAACTTAAGGCCTTCGCAACTTGATTGTGCACCACAGATCTTCGCTCTTTATCGGAAGATCTAAGGACTGATCCAACAGCAATGGAAGATTCAACAACTGTCTGTAGAACAGCAAGAGGCTCTGGGAAGGGACACACCACATAGATCACCTGATTGCAATATGGGCAACACAGATACATAAGCAGACCAGCAAGAACATGAAATATATAAAGCGATTGAAATGAATATAGCGACATATGGGGAAAGAGCTGCAATTTAACCAAAAAGAAAAGGTAAAGAAACTATTTCAGGATCTCATAATTGGACCTTTAGTTATTATATTTGGCAGAGATGCAGGCAAACATTTGGAGGTGTGAGGCCTGCATCATCTGCAAGGGTAGGGGGGTAGTTCTCAAAGTCAAGCACTGGGATACATCAACAGAGGGCCATAGGTTTAACATATTTCTTGATCGAAGAGATTCTTCTAGTCTCTTATCTACTATATATACATGCATATGTCGGAAATTCACAACTTACAGTGCATGGGCCAGTATTTCCTTCCTTCGCATTAGTAGTCATGCACGAACCAAGTTTCAAAGTTTTGAGAACCTTTGAAAGAGTCTTCAAAAAGCTAGTCATATCCCAGCCATTGGATAAGCAGAGAAAGTAATCACTGATAGATCCCAACATAGATGCATTGCTGCTATCTATCTTCATGGATTGAGGACTATCTAGCAGCACAAAACCTGAAGGAGAAATCTTCCCAGAATCTAACTCCATCTCATTTCCAAGGCTTTGTGGTGAATGTGTTCCCAGCTTGCATGTCTCATAAACTGAGTAAACCCCATAGAAATTCACAAGTAGAAATTAATCTCTTCTTCACATATGCACACATCAACAGAAGATAATACTTCATTAAATATTTAAGCTTTGATTAAATGTAAGCATATGGTTGATGCACGTAAAAGTTGTTGGATGTGTATTCTATCACTGGCAACATTACTATGAAAATCTTAGGCAGGGGAAATTGCTCAAGTATGAATGCGCGCAATAATGAATATATAACAGCACAAAACTTATAAACAGAATCAAATTGCAAATGAGAGAATCATGCGTCACAGGTCTTAGAAGGTGCTACAAAAACCTTCCTGTGAGAAGTATTCCGTCAACTTGAAAAATATGGGAACAATATAAACAATTTAGATTTCACTTCAATGAAGATTTTAACCACTTTAAAGCATTGCAGACTTTCATTGGGTGCTGGATGACAACCTTCAAGAGTTCTTTCCCTCAAAAAGCAAGGATAATGATGCCTAGGTTGCATAAAGCATGTCAACATTCAATAAAAAAATGAAATTATAAAAATACCATCCTGAATGCCAATGTCAAGCATCTACTGGTGGTTTATATTAACTTGTATAAGAAATAATCAATTCAGTATTTCCTGAGTCATTTGCTGGGCGAGGAAGTTATGTATAAAGATCAATTCTAATACATAATGATCACCTCAATGCAAGATCAAGCTCAATTGTTATAGTGCGGGGAACAATATCAATCCAATTAAAAGTTCACATAGTTTGCAAGAGGACTTCAAATTGATCATCATTTTAACCTAAATGTTTGTCTACTCTATGCAGAATCATTGCAACATTATAAATACTGATCAAACTAACCAGTCCCGAGTTGCTGGAAAAAATCAGCAGCAGCAGTTGTGAGTGGATCAATATTTGGACAGACAACACAGTAAGTCATCTGCATTTTCAAAAAATAAGTAAATAAATAAATTAAACTTGAGGGAGTCATAAAAAATATTCACTGGAAATTGAATAAGAGATATTCACTAGCATTAATGACAATGAAGTAGAAAAGATGAAACTCGGTGGTCCATTAGCTGATCTGCTACCTCTTATACGAATTCTTACATGTTTCGGAGTCGCGTATGGTTCAAAAGGAGCCTTTTCCCAGAGTTGTAGAGAGCTGGGCGAGGTCTTGAGCCAATCATCTTGATACCTGTTACATAGAATAACTTAGACTGCTAACACCGAAAAACAACATAAAAGCTAGACAATGTATTTTAAGGCCAAATGCCAGAAGCATGTGAATCATAATTGTCTAACAACAGGTTTTGGATTTCTGCACATTTCTGGGAGGCCATTACCCAGTTTCTTTGGCTTGAACAATGATGACACAGGAGCATATATTTGATAACGAACAATTGATGATTAAGAAAAGAAAGAGGTGCAAAGAAGATGAAAAATTAATGGCAAACAAATCAATTTTTATTCATATAATTTGAAAGGGGTCGACGCCCTTGCTTCTCTCATGCATTTGCCGAACCCTTTTCTCCTCGTTCCACAAAGACAAAACATAGGGGGTTGAATATTACATTGAATAAGCCATTTATTTATAGAGCAAACAAACTAAAAAGAAGCTAAAATCAAACTAAATTCTACTAAGCTAGAACTTTATCAAAATTGTAAAACTAATCTAATCTAATTACTCTATTTATAATATCCTATAATAATTCTAACTCTTCTTTCTTCTTATCTTTTTCTCCATCAAATGAGCTGTGGCATTTTTCAGAATTGGGACTGCCTCCACATTAGTTCCCTGAACTAGGGTTGGGTTGGCCACAAGATGTTTAAATTCAGCATATCTCACTCAAGTCTACAAAATAGCTGAAGTGAATTATTCTAAACCAACAAATGGGATCTAAGAACTCCCGGAATCAACAAATAACACATAAACAGGTACCAATATCCCCACCAAGTAGACTAGTATTTAAGTATAAACAATTCAATTCTCCAGCTTCCATATCTTATACCAAATGGACGACTAATGTTGTCCCCAAAGGAGCCCATAATATCGGTGAAATGGCAAAAATTTGCATTTTAATCATACATACCCAACAAGTATGGAAGGAAAAGGAACTACAGAAATTGTGGGCCGCAGCCGTGAGCCTGGTTGCTGATCTGACTCTGATGCACAAGGGTCCTGGTTCAGCCGCCTTTCACTTACCTCGTCCCCTCTGGTTCCATCTGGCGCAACAGAAAGTAACTGCATCAATGTCCTTCAGATGGTACAAGGTCTAAAATCTCATTGGATTGCTAAAAATAAATATAATAATAATACCTTTTAGGCAAGATAATCCATCAGCTGAGGACAGAGATGGGCTCATGGACTCTCCAACCGATAGTGTTACAGTACTAGAAGAATCTCGACATTCGCTAGCACTTGCAGTTGATTCTGCAGAAAATCCATCGCCCATTATTCCATCACCGGATTGACTGCGGCCTCTGCACCAATCAGTAACAAGTAGAGGACCATCTATGCTGCTAAATGCAGTTTTTAGAGCTGTTTTGATGTCTGACTGAAGCAAAGTCATGGTTAATGATGCCTGAACCTGAAAAAAATAATAGTTTCAGGAAAGAATGTGATATAGTATAAAATAACTGCACTGAAATACTAGATTAACTGGGCAAAAGCAGAGAACTACACATGCGCGCGCATATATATACACACATGCACACGCTCTATTGGTCACATTTCCGTTATTATTCTTTTGATTAATTAACGGAAAGAAAACAACAGTTCAGCCTCATCTCAATAACAATGGCAGCAACTACCATGAAACGTCATGAGAACTTTATCTATTTAACCATCAAAGATGCCAATTGAAGAAGCAATTTTTAATCATAGTAAGTCCCACAAATGCATAATTTTTTAACACAATAAAAACAAACACTGGAGATGGTTCCATAAACAAAAAACCAGATTTAGAGCAAAAATATAACGAAATACTGCCAATGCAACTAAGTGATTTACATGGCTAACAAAACATGACTGCATTATTCCCAATGAATATGATTCTCATAACAAGCCTTAAAAGTCCAGCCAAATGTCAGAAAAATTTGACAAAATTTAATTTTAGAGGCCTCTGACATCATACTGGAACTGCAGTCTCATTCACACTGCCTTCCTAGCTACTTAACATGCACGCACACACCCACAAACATTAACAAGAACACTGAGTAATGGCAGAGGTATCCAGAGGGAATGACCAGAAAAATAAAAAATAAATATTATGAAGGGTAGGCCCCAGCAAAGAAATAAACAATACAGCGGAAAACCAAATTCCAACAAGAAGAAATCTTACATCAATTGAGAGTGGATCAACAAGCTCCATCCCAGCAATATCCAGCGAATGGCAAGAAGCCAAAATACCTCCACATCCAGCATGGACCATAGAGGGTCCACAGGAAAATCCGCGCCTCCACTGCTCTTGCAATACAAGCCAACCATAAGGACCATCGCCACAGTCAGCATCCAAAGCCACATCAACAAATGAAGTAGCTTGCTGAACAAGTAATGCAATGCCATCAAGAAGTTCCTGAAGCGGTTGCCTTACTCCATAAGAAAGCATGCTTTCTTCAATAAATGAATTGTGAGGTAAAGATGGTCCAATTTCCATGCTCTGGGCATTTGTTTTTGTAGCTTTAGAAACTCCAACAGAACGCCAGACACCAAGAGGGGCATTCAAGGGGCCATCTGGCATATCTCTATCTAAATCACCAGCTATCCTAACGGGTATCATTTCTTTCTTTTTCACCTCAGACTTGCTCGAAATATTGTCCATCATGATGCTTGGATCAGCATACGGCTGATTCAGAATGCTAGCTCCAGAAGACCCACTAAAACCATTAGTCAAAGTGTTGCTAGAAGATAATAGTGTGTGCCGTAGCCTGCACATAGAAGACTGACAAGCAAGGCATTCAATTTCTGTTGCAAGGACAGTTTTGGAAGATGGACGAAAATTATCTTCTCTGGAGGGACCTTCCTTCACTTTATCGGAAACAGATTTGACAACATCAGTTGGATGCAAAACAGAAAATTGAGATGATGCAACTCCTGTCTCGCCTTTGGCAATGCTTTTGTTACGGCCAAGCAACCTTCCACCATTTGGCTCTTTTCCTCTTTCAACAAGAGTGTAATGATTCTTTAATTTGAGAAGAGCACTTGTGTCATGCCTTTCTGTGCATGCTTTCTTTTTTACAGCCAACAGAGACTTTTCCTCAAACCCATCAAAGCAGGGAGAAGAAGGTGGTGTTGCAGAGTATACATAGTTGTTTGAACTTGAAGCAGTATCCACTTTGCAATATTTTGGAATGTATGGACTTCTGAAAATCGATGAGGAGATCTCAGCTCTAGGGGTTTCAACTGCCCCATATTCAGGTGCAAATGTCATTAGCGCTTCAGATTTTATTAGATGATCAAACTCACCACCAGAAGATGGTGGAGTGTAGTTCATAGGAGCAGAGGCTGAAGCGTTTTTTGAAGCTTCTTGATTTTTGCTTGCTGAATCTTCCATGGCAGCAGGAGGTGGTAGGGGTGTAAAGTTATCAAAGGATGGAAAATCTACATGCAGAAGCATCTGATCAGACACATCCATCATCGAGGGTCCGGGACTGCTACCTATGTCACACTCAGGTGCAGAAAACTTGAGAGCTTGAGACTCTGCAGTTCCTGGAGGCTTCACCATGTGAAAAGGCAAAATCAGGTTTGATTAAAATATCCCCATCGATGATCATAAAAGAGAGGAGGGAACAGGAGAATGGGGACAGATGGTAAGAAAAGCATACATACATACATATGTGTGTGTGTGTGTGTGTGTATAAATATATGTATATATGTATATCTGTATGTATATGTATGTCTATATATATATCCGTATGTATATGTAATGTGTGTGTGTGTAAATATATGTATATATGTATATCTGTATGTATATGTATGTCTATATATATATCCGTATGTATATATAATGTGTGTGTGTGTGTATATGTATGTATATATGTGTATGTGTGTGTATTCAGCAATATCTAGAAAAAATCAAGATGAATGGTGACAAAAATGAAAGTGAAAACAATTAAAAACTACACCTAGATGACTGTTAACATGCACTCATCAATCCCTTATCCAAAATGTCGATGCAGTCCTAAATGCAGTCTTTGCTATAATTACTACACATTACATCAAAATTATTATAAAATAAAATAAAATAAAATACGAAACTTCCTCTCCCTTCAGCTTAGAGCATCCTCAGTTCATCTATAGTTTACTTATTACAGATATCTAATTGGCAAAGTCTGTCATACAACAGCTATTTGGTTTTATTAATGAACCATTAAGGTTATCATATTATTTTGGGGTAAATTCGCAGGGAAGAATTTAAGGTGCTGAAACAAGTGGAATAGTAGACCATGTGACGTGGAGAGGAAGAATTTAAGATGCTGACACAAGTTCAATAGCAGACCATGTACAGATGAAACTTGGAAAACAAAAATACTTGGGCACGGAGCACTAGTAATGACCAAGCTAGTCAGTGTTACTTAGGCTCTTCCAAGCATACAGACTCATCCTGATCAATTTTATCAAATCCTGACCAGACCACCTGATTCAACCAGAAATACCAGGAACCGGGCCAGAAGCCTCCTGTCCTGTCATATACTAGCCACCATATGTTAAAAAACCAGTTTCCAAACTCACTCAACTGGTGACTCATCAGAAACCCTGGTCAGATTCTAGTTTTAAAAGGGAAAAAAATCCTGCATTCTTCGATTTCATTGAATTTCTCACCAGATCTGGGATGGATCTTCAATGTTTTCACCTTACCTTTCTTTGATGCAGCTAAAAGAAGACGAATTTTGGTTTTTTTTTTTTTTTTTCTTTCCCTCTTTCAATTTCTTTTCCATTCTTCTTTGTACTTTTCTTACCCTTTTTCCGTCATCACCACTTTCTATTCAATGACTGTTTAAGCCTCAATTGAAATCAATTCCCCAAATGATAAAACCCTTGAGTTCCATTTTTTACTTTTAACACGATGATGGTAGGCCCTACCACTCATTTGCTTTTCCTTTTTTATATTGTATTTTTCTTTGACTAGTTTGATTTTTAAATAAAGGATAAACTATTTAATTATATTTACAGTATTAAATTACATTTAAGTTTATTTGCTAATTGCATAGCTGAGTTTGTATGGCTAATTGGATATTGTATTTGAATTCATATTTGTGTGTGTGTGTGTCGGTTCGACATTTTGACCCTTCACCCTTTACCTTTACTAGGTAAAGCCCATATCGGTTTTTAAAACATTGGTCCTTGTTCTATAAAGAAAAATCCTCACTAACGAACTGCAAATTAGCAACCACCAATTTACTGTTCTTCCACCTTTTAACTTCTATTCTTATTCTCATCCTTGTCCTATTTCATCTATGTTCTTTTATTTTCATCTTTTCTTGGCTGATATAACTACACCGTATTGCATCAGAACTTCCAACTTCAAGCATATTACAAAAATCTGAAATTAGAAAAATGGCTGTCTAAGATTCTTAATTATTTAACCTTTATGACATAAATATATAAGAATGAAGACAAAAGGTGATATTTTATTAACTGCGTTGAAGAAAATATTTAAATCATATACATTAAGCTTTTAGATCAATGGTTCAAAATGTTATCAAATCAGGCAAAACTCCTCGGTGTCTCGCCGCTGCTCATTTAAATGAATTGTCCACGTATTAGGCTTTGATGGAAAAATAATAAAATCACCACTTACATCAAGTTGGTCAACAAACCGCATTTCATCAAATCAAATACTAGCAACCTGCTAATAAGATGGTTGTGCTACTAGCAAAGTTTAACACAGAACTTCAAACATAGGGATGGCAGTATGCAAAAACTAGATGCAGGAGGTCACTGTAACCATCATTCCTATTGTTGTTAGAATATATGTATTCATAGAAAATCAATTCGTTAATATATCCTTGCAGCTTCAGATTAGCCTAGTTCAAGAATGTATTATCATAATTAGATAGTGAATATTTTTAAGAAGGATTGATATAACTATGGAAAATCAGTAGTTTGAAAAGCTTAAAACTGAGACTAACAATTGAAAATATTCAGAGAAATAAGGTTACCTCTCCAAAAGGCAATGCATCATTCTCAAAGAAGTCACCAAAATCACCAAACTCTGTGAGCAGCGCTTGAATATCCATGCACATGCCTTTGTCGTCGTCATCCCAACCCCAACGAGATCCAACTTCCTCGTTTGCAACTCCAGCAATGGATGAATTGTTGACTTCTATGGAACCATAATCACTAGCAGGAGGATTTATAATCATACCAGCATGACCAAATGACTGTGATGTCCCTGCTCGTGGGCGCTTAGAACCCTGTTTAGGAATAAAAATTGCTTTTTCCTATAAGAGACATGGGCACGTAAAATAATCACAAAACAATACATCCTAAAAGAAACATGGGCACGCAAAATAGATGGCTCCTCATATGTAGAAGAATACAAAAACATAACTAGATACAAATGCAACGTGACATTTTAAAAGTTCCACTATGTGTACAATACAGAACACATGCCGTGATATGAGGTTGAAATTGAAAAATGTTGACAGAACCAAATTATGGCTATTTGTTTGATTTGATTTGGTTATTAATAGTTACAATGGAATAATTGAATCACTAGTGTATGCATAGAAATAAATGTAAAAAAATAAATTTATTGGTGTTTTAATTAAAGTGAGATAAACCCATGTTATAATTAAAGATTATGTTATAGACATAGCTCTGCGTGCATAATAGAAGTAGAGAATATGGAAGCTAATCTAATCAAAACATGTCATTTAGTTGTATAAGGTACAGTCTTATCTATGAAGTGTAAAATGAAGACAGTTCAAAGTACATTGAAATTCATTTTGCTGCTTCAATAACATAAAAGGAAGAATAACAGAAAAAATAAAAAGCGAAAAATGTATAGATATAATAATTCCAAGCATGGCCCAAAACATTCTAACACTAAATACCAATAATTAGCCTTTCTTCCATTTCCCATTTCTCACGAAGTATAACCAATGTTAACACTACCCCTTGCCTGATGAGAGCCTGAATATTTTTCGTTGAATTTTTTTAATAAATCAAAATCCCATTAAAGAAAGAGGAATATTTTTACACACTGGTATACACTAAGGTAACTATCAACTTGTGTCATGACGAAATGGAACATATTTGGATTTCAAGTCCTTCAAAAATATTTAGGTAAAAGCAATACCAATTTGAGGCCATCATTCAGCGATTGGTCGATGGAAGACAATCCAGACTGTCTACACATTAAGGAATCGGCATCTGCCTCGAGATCACCAGCTCCTGAGACCTTGTTATCACTGTCAGTGGAGGAGCTACTTACGCTGCAAATACTACTGCTATTACTGTTGCTGCTGCTACGATATCCATGCTGAGAGTGAGTGCCACTTGGTTCAAGTGAAGATCCATCTTTTGAATCTGCCTTGCCATCACTTCCAAAATCAAAACTATAGGAAATGCACCAATTCAGGGACGGAGATAAAACAAATTGTACAAAAATTGGACTATCAATGCACAAGAAATAATATAAGGTCTAACCAAGGCATAAAAAGGGATGAACCAGACAACGGTGAACTGACCCAGTTTTGCAGCCAGAATCTGACATTCAGAAAATATTTATTAGTTCCACTGTACATACAAGTATTGATGACAAAAAGCACCTTATCAATGACTGCTTAACATATTTAACCAAATAACATCTTCAGACAATTCACATAATGTCTTTACATGCATTAATGCTTACAGCACATTTACGAAATGCACAAAGTAAAATTATTTCACAAGTTGGACGGAGGGAAAATTAAATGCACAGACAAATGGTTATTAGGCTGGCTCTTCAGGCACCAAGCCATCCCCGGGGGAAACTATCTTCAGTTCAATTGTCTGCAGTAATCCTAGCTCTGGCCATCAATTTTATGAACATTACCCTGCAGGTAAAAATTTCAAAACCATATTCCCCAAATCTAGCGGTTGTTTGGTTGGTTGGAATTCAGAAAAGGTGAGAAATTAAACGTGGATAAATTAAACCGTCATAATGCTTGACGGGGAGATGAGGAAGGACAAACTAACATACTGTTCTGACACCAAGTTATCGAAAATCATTGTATTTCACCCATCATTAGCAGAGAATAGAAATACCTCTTTAAAGATGACCTAGCAAAAGAAGTCTGCATAACTGGTACAAGGACAGACTCTGCTGGATAAATAAACATTCTTTCACTAGCTGGAAACTGATCTGATGTCCCCTTAGGAGTAACTTTCGACATTGCAGGGGTTTCAAAATTATGAGGCTGAGGTGAGTTTTTATGCCGCATGTTTGGTTGTGATGTCTTGTCTGAGCAGCCAAGGGTAACTTCAACATAGCAGTATTGTCCCCTCAGTTGATAACCAGAACCCGGAGAAACTTGGTAAGGTAGACCTACAATTCCATTTGAACCTCTAGATTTGCCAGAGCTGTTAAGAGAGTTCAATAGGAAGACAGATAAGAATCCAAGAAAAACATAAATCAAGAAAATGATGCAAAAGTCATCCAAAATGAATGAATTACGGGAGGAAAAGCCTCCCTTTATATGGTGAGAGAAACAAGTTAACGTGTGTGAATGCAAGTAAACGGAAAATGTGTAGAGGGACAAGTTCATTTTGACCTCAGATACACTTGCTTCACAAGGTCGCTTGGACAGCATCCTGTAAGCTTCCCACACATTCCATGAGGTGAGACAATAACTGCAAAAACATATTATGGAAAATGATATGACTACAATTGCAATGAATGAAAAGTAACTTAAATGAAAAGTGCATTCTGAACAAAGAAAGCGTGTTATATACTTCAGTAAAAAAACTAAAAGTGAAGAATAATTATCAATGTGCAATAAAGGAAGCTTTAAAAAAAGTATTGGAAAGCATATAATAAGTTATACAACAATCCTGGGAGAGAGAATAAGGTACATTGGACAGTTAAAGCAATAAAAGGATAACAAGAGACATCACAAGGTGTATAACGTTATGCACATACTTTGTACGCATAGAATATTGCACGAATTAAAGCAGAATCACAAAAATTGCAATTTCCAGGCCTGAATCTACATATAACAGCTATGTCAGTAATACCCTGATCCATTTAACAGGAATAAAAATGGGCAATTAATGTCTGATAGCACTATATAGTAATACAATGGGTCATAATTTTCAGCAAAGGGAACTCTACTAGAAATGAAGCCTACAAGAGATCCAAATTTATTCTCTCACCAGAAGCGGCTTTCAGAATAATTTCTATCTACTTTGTTTTTGTTTCTTACAGAATTTAACATTAAAGAACATGTTGCGGTAATTAGTTCACAGCTCTTCTACGTCACTTCCTTTTTTCTTCTGAGCTTTGCAGACATATTTGTAGAAAATTCAACATCCTTCATCCAGTTTATTTGTAACTATCTTCAGTCAAGCATATATGGCACGTATACGGCAGAAGGTAATTCTTTTAGAAGGCAGAAGACCAAACAGGTAGGACACAAAAACTTATAGCATGTCATGTGTATGCCTTAGGCAGGCATGCAAGCTTTAATATGTCCTAATAGCATACAAACATGATATATTTTAAAATTTAAGCAAATAAATATGTAAAATACATCCATTTTATCATTCATATTTTATTTGCAACTTTTACATTTGATTACACAGTTTAATGACCTAATATTCGACACACATCAAACCAAACATCAGGCAAAAGACCTTATTTCTTAATTTTATGTTTTCATTCTAAATGAGTATTAAAGACATGTTAAACAGGTTTCTAAGGGATTATGCACTGTCCAACAGGGACACAGCACTGTTCACAATCGAATGTAACATCATTTTTAAAACTGCAAAAACTACACTCTAATGATAATGTGACCAACCTGGAGTTCTATTGTCGAAGCGCTTAAAAGAATGACCCAAGATTCTTTCAACATCACCGCTTGAAAGTGCTCGAACATGCCTAAAGTGAGTGGAATAATATTCAATTCATCTTATATGGTATACTTCTGTAGACTGTAAGTCCAGGAAATAAGGCGAAATGCTATAGCAGTGTAATCTCATAATGAATGGTAAAAGAAGACTAACTTGGCAGATACAATGGCATGCACAAAAATTGCCTCTTCAGTGACAGCAAAAACGAACTCAACCACAGGCTGACCCTTCCTATAAAAGCACCAATAATTAGAGAACTTTCTTAATGAGGGACTACTGTAGCAGATATTCATCCCCTAAAACCAGAAAATCAGTAGTGTACATAACTCGACATCATGCAATGAAGCAAACGTAAAGGCATTAAGCCCCTATTTGGTTAAGATAAAAATCTGGATTAAAATCTAAGTCGAAATCAACATTTAATTTTAACAACTCATTTCATGTGACCCATAACTTTTCAACCACACATAACATCGTCTTTAACCAAAATTTACTAAAATTCTGATTTTTTTTTAAAAACCAAACAGGGGTTAAATTTCATACGAAGTATTATGTGACAAAAAAAAAAAAACCCACAGAAGAGAACAAATTACTAAAAGCACTCTAGCATGAACTTATAAGATGTGCATGATGATATAATTAAAAAAGTGAACAAAAGCCAAAACAGATGATAAGCAATTCAACCATTGAAAAGAAAAGGGATACAGTGCTAAGCTACTAAGTAGGGCTACATCAAGAAAAGCGAAAGCTATTACAAAAAATCCAGACTTGAAACCTAAGCTCAACTCATTTTATTCTTGAGATCATATCGGACATGTTTCTACCAAGGAAAGTCCAAGCCCACCGTCAACTTGGTATTATTTATACTCCTTCATCTTCACCCTAAATGTTATATTTCCTAATTTGCAGTGTGCCATAATTTGAGTCTAGTTACAGATAGCCAAGAGTCTTCTGTCAGAATATCTTGGTCAGCTTTGATATTAACTCTATTACTTCTGATATTAACAATACATTAAAATAACAACTCTTAATGTTCGAACACCTAATCTAAACAACTCGCAAAACCAAACACATATACCTCCATACCTGAACAGCTCTTCACTCCGTGTAAATGGATGGTATTTTGAAAATACATCACCAAATCTCATATATGAAAGACCTTTGAGAGCTCTGTCATTTCAAATAAAATTTAGTCAGTTAAAGACCATGTAGGTCAACCAAAAACAGGACAGGTACGGGCATAACCTTTCTATACAGTTCCGTAGGGCTTGGGATAGGGCTACTGCAACTTCTTCTGAGTCACCAGGTGCCACCCAAAGTCCAGATGCAAGAACTTCAATCGCCAATCACAAAAGTAATGCATATTAATAAATCAACTGTGCTAATATACAATCCATAAAGTTTAAATATCATATTAAAGCAAGAGTGGTGAATTTGGAAAGCCTGATCCATAATTTGACTAATGAAGATACTATACCTCTTAACCTAGATAGAGCAGGCTGAGCTTTCTCAACAACAGAGGAATGTTGACCAGGGAGGAATAGCCAGAGCTTTATCTTCTCATCTGTAAAATAATATGAGCTGACAGTAATAAGAAAAACAAAGATTTCATGACTCTTTCACAATACAACTTGCAATATTTACCAGGGTTGTGCTGGCCCTGAGATGGGTCCCAGGGTCCAACAAAAGAATTTGTCCATGCGCTGAGAAATCCTTCCTTTTGCAATTGCAAATGTGAAGAAAGCACCAGCATTGTCATAGCATCTTTCATGTCCACATTGGCACTACAGAAATACCAAAAAGAAAAATGTAGAAACAATCTAAAAATCAGTAAATAATTATATCCAAAAGTTTAGTAGACATCCTTTTCAATTTTCTTTTCAACAGATTCAATGAAATGGCAATAAATGAATCGAGACTAAACCTCGTATCAGGAAGAGAGTTGAAATCAGATTCCTGTGGAAGAAATTGGAACCACGATATCTGATGCAAACCACCCTGCACAAAAGCTTAACAAATTACTCGTAAGTTGTAATTAATGAGAAGCAAGCAAAAAACATAATTTAGTAGCCTCTCGAGCAGTTTCATTTGGGATTAGCATTGGCTGTATACACAAGGAGCACTGATGTAGTACACCACGACTACAATTAATAATTTCCTACTACAACTATGTTTTATATTTTCTAGGAGTTTATCTTTTCAATTATGTTTATCTTTTTAGTTTTCTCGTATAGTTATGATAGGACTTTATCTTCTATTTAATTAGGATTACTGTTTCGATTAGTTTCAATCTCCTAATACTATTGGAAGTAGGGAATAATCTTGCCTATAAATATAGGGATATTGTACACTTTTTATAGCATCAATCAATATCAAAGTAAGTTATTCCAATATTCTTCTTAATTTATTAAATATTTCTTATTACAAGAATTTTATTATCGCTTCTGCACCAAAATTGGTATCAGAGTAAGGAAATTACTTTAATCCGATAGTCGACAAAGGTACTCATGGCAGTCGAATCGTCGACGACAAATGGAGGCTCGACAAACTTGAACAACAAATTGAGGAGATACACAAAAACCTCCACAACATCACGCAGATTCTAAGTAAGTTGAGTCTTGAAAGGAATCGAGAGCCCATGGGGAAGTAAGCTGACAAAAATTTGCAAATTTTAACTGCTATGAATGTTTGTTGCTTCAACAAGCTTAAAACACAGCAACAGGTGGCTAGAGAATTTCCTCAAATCCCAGCTAAGTTTGAATACACGCAAGTTATTAAGGATTCTACAAAATTTTATGGGGAAAATATAAGAATCCAATTTGAAGTGCAAGAAGATTTTAGAACACGATGCACCATTAAAAATAAATTATACAAGGGGATAATAAATCATGAAAGTAGTGAGAAATTGGTATCTAAAGCATTGGTGAAAGATTTAAATTTGAAGACAGAAAAATATTCATCTTCCTATCAAGCTTCACATATTAAAAGGGGGCAAAAAATTCAAAACATGGAGGTATACAAAATTTCACTTTCTCTTGGAAGTACTACAAAAATGAGATTATACATAACGTGGTAAAGATGGACGATTGTCATGTACTTTAGGAACAACCATAGTACTGTAATGTAGATGCCATTTACATAAGTCGAGATAACATATATATGTTTTGGTTTACGATAAGAAGATTGTTTTGGTGGCAGGCGACGAGCAATATGTACGTATTAGTGTAAACAAAGAAAAAAGATCCACAAGGCAGATAATGAGGTTAAACAAAATTTAATTCAAGATAATCGAAATGTTATCGTCAGTGATACTATAATAGAAAAAGAAAAGCATGTGCAAGTTGAAAACCCGAAACTAGTGATCCATTATGAAAATTAACAATGAAAATAAGCGTAAGGATTTAAAACACTAAAGTAAAATTACAATTGAAAATCCCAAGATTGAGCCACATTTTGATGATGAACTAGTAGAAGTTCAGAATTTTCCAACAAGAGAGGAGATAATTAAAATTTTCAATCATGAAAAAATTAAAGGTGAGGCGTGTGAAATTGATAATAAAAATTTTGATGACCTTTTCTACAATTTTAGTGCCAATGAATTGCATGAGAAAAAGGAAAATATTGACGATGACGATTTGAGTATTTGTACCAATTCTTTAGTATTGAAGAGAACGTCACTAGACATTATAGTAGAAGAAAAGTGTGAAGAATCGAAAATAGCATTAATGATCTTTATCAAGAATGAACTTAAGGATGAGAAATCAAACCATGCTTCATTTATGAAGAAATATTGTGCAGGAATTATCTATGATGAAAATAGAATGAGCAGAAGCAAATTTGACTTCAAAAAATGGAACTGAAGAGTATAATGTTTATCGAGCACATGAAATTTCTTCAATATCGGTATTAATAGAATTTTTTGAATATTTTCCTCTAGTTTCATTGATTTTCTTTTCTTCAACCAAACTCGAAGACGAGCTTTCTTCAAATGAAGGGGATTGATGTAGTACATTACAGTTACAATTAATAGTTTCCTACTACAATTATGTTTTATCTTTTCAATTATGTTTATCTTTTTAGTTTTCTTGAATAGTTGTGATAGGACTTTACCTTTTATAATTTTATTTAATTAGGATTATAGTTTCAATTTCCTAATACTATTGAAAGTAGGGAATAATCTTGCCTATAAATATAGGGGTCTTGTACACTTTTTATAACATCAATCAATATCAAAGTAAGTTATTCCAATATTCTTCTTAGTTTATTACATAATTCTTATTACAAGAATTCGATTATCGCTTATGCACCAAGCACTAATCCAAAATTTTGGTGGGTTACCATCGCAAAAATGTCTTTGTTCATTTTCTGTTTATCCCAAGATAATGTCACGTTTCCTAAAACTAACAGCCCTAAAAAGCCACCATTCCCAAAATAGCCCTTGTAAAAACATGTAGCACCTTTAACAGAAAGGAATGTTTCTCTCTCTCTCGTCTTTAACTCGTCCCATTCCACCATAACTCTTACCACTCTCATCTCCCCAGCCTCATGCCACAGCCCTAAGCCCATAGTAGCCCCATGGTGTCCAACCTCAAAAACTACTGCAACCACCATGACAGGTTCAATCCTTGTAACAGTCATTCCACCTTCAATGGTAGACCTCTCAACCCCTTTCTTCTATTTATTTCCCAACTGCAATTTCTTGGATAGTCCAACACGTAAAATATCTTTAATCGTGCAAAATAGATTATCAAGCTACATTTCTATTCTAACTTGGTTTCAATGCTTTTTGTCCTTTTTTCAGGTGGAGATAGCTCTTCGATGGTAAGAAAGTGAGGCATCAATGGTAATTGCCCCAATTTTTGGAGTTGGGAGGCCACACTTTCCTTTTTATTCTTCTTATTTTTCGATTAGGAGTATTAGGACTTCTTGCAAATGGGGACAGTAATAGACTCAAAGGCAGGGTAATTGGTGTGAATCCAGTGGTGAACTGGCATTAGTTTCTTGCTGTCATTAATGTCACTGAACAAGGTTGACAACAGCATCCAACTGTTCATGCTCAGGAGTTTTTGTCATCAGCATGTGTTGTTTAAAAGCGAGCCACTTGAAGCAGATAACACTAGCAGGTAGTACATGGAAGTCTTTTTTGGGGGTGGGGGGGGGGGGGGGGGATATATATATATATATATATATATATAACAATCCGCAGACATATCAATATTGCATATGCAGTAATCAAAACATGGGCAGATAAAATATGTTCAATTGAGTGTAGAGTAAAACGAAAAGGCAAGAAACTTACGATTTTGAACACATTTGTCCACATGATTATTTTGCACCTCTTGAAGCCGCCTTTGAAGTAAACTTAGCCAACTAGACTAGAAAACTCACATCAGAGGCCTCCACAACCATATCAACTACTGCAAAACTGAACACAGCGCTGTTGTCAGTTTGTGGTTATAACTCAGAAAAGATGTTTACAATTCGTCATGTTTAATTTAGTAAATCAAGTAAAATTCCACTAGTGAATTACTTCAAAACCCTATAATCCACTGGCGCATGTTACGAGCAAGAAAGAAAGAAATATCTGATCTGCTACCGTTGATTGGAAAGGGCACAACACACCCTTTCCTCTTCGAACATGGTAGGGTTCGACAAAATTTAAATCAGCAATTCTTCAACTCTCAGAATTCCTTCCACGTTCACAAACACTATAAAATTACCTAAGCTTGTATTCGTGTGTGTTAAACAGAAACTGAATTACCTTTACTCGATGATCGTATCTATAAACCGCAGCACAGATTCAGGTGCCCGAGAGAGATAGCTGAATATGTAACGGGAATTTTTTCACAGAAACTGGTCATATTCCTTTTTCACGGGTAAAATTATATAAATTTATAGAAGTTTTGGAAGAAGAGAACTTTTACACGGTTTCTCATTATCCTTGTAATTCAATTATTTAGCTTAATTTCTAATCAAGATTTATTTAGGGGGTGTATTTGGGACTTTTAAAGATTTTGGGAGATTTAAAAAGTTTGGGTGTATTCAATTGAAACTTTTAAAAACTCTCTAAAAGTTTGGGTGTATTCAATTGAAACTTTTAAAAATTTTTAAAAAGTCTTTATAAGTTTCGAGGTATTCAATTAAAACTTTATAATAGTCTTTCGTGGTATTCAATTAAGAAAGACTTTTGGGGAATTAATATTTTTGTAGACTTTCAGAGACTTTTGGTAGAAACCGTCCATAGAATTCTCACAACAAAAATCTCTCATCCATCGAGAGATTTCTCACAAGCCGTTTGTTGCTTTTCTTCTAAGGTTTCTCGTTGATCTCCTTCAATCAAGTAATCATGCTTTGCACCTCTCTATCTCTCCCTCTATTAGTATCTTGTTTGATTTATGGATAAACCCATCTCCAAAATTGCAAACTCAAAGAAAGCAGTGTTGGAGAGTTTTTTGATTTCTGAACATACCCAGAGAAAAACACTGGTATGATCTGTGTGGGTAACTTTGTGTTTGGTTATATGTTTGTGAATGTAGTCTCGTAGATAAATATTCATTTTGCTGAATTTTCGTTGATGTAGTCTCGTAGGTAAATTTAACTTAAAAGAATTTTGGCACTGGGGGATCACCTTCCTAAGTATCGTTCCATTAGTTGCAACACTGAGGATATCTCTCAATCTGGCAGCAGCGGCTAGTGGTTGAAGATTGATATGAGCGTGTCCCATCTTGTCATCGGCCTTGAATTGGTCTTTATCAAAAACTTCCTATAAAGTTACAGTACCGAATTCATAAAAATGCCCCTGTAAATATTGAAAAGCACGTGGCTATAATCATTCTCGCAGGAAATGACTCATTAGTAAACACATTTCTTGTGATGATCTACGCCTTTATGACCTCATAATAGAAAAAATGAGGAATGACTATTCCATATTCTATTGTCTACTTTACAATATTACTTTGACAAGTAAAAATTGCTTGCGTATTAATGGAACCATTTCTAGCTCCTTTTACAGTGAAACAGTGTTTATTCCTACTAAAACTCAGCTTTCTGAGGTAACAGGATGCAAACTTTTAAGGCTCTTGAACACACGTACAGGAGAGTCAGGAATTGGGAAAGTTAAACACTTGAGTTGATGAATTATGAACATGTATTAGATTTAGACTGTACATTTCTAATTTCTCCTAAAATTATGAAATTGGGACAAAAGTTCTAGCAAGTGAAAATACTATGAACGATAGATGACTCTTTAGAGCGTTCTTCCAGCAAAAAATAAGATTCCGTTGTAGCTGGATTGTCGATTGAAGTATTAGAAACATACCAATTTGAGAACCCCAACAGGCTCTGAAAGGGAAAAACTAAATTCTTCATTCCAGGTAGGATTAAGGCAGCTGTTTATAACGTTGGTCTTTGTCGTCGGGAGACAAAACAAAACTTATAAAACATGGCGGTTTACAAATAGAATGATATCCAAGAAGCCTGTTGAAATACAGCTAGATAGCATCATACAATGACAAATAAATTCATAGAGTTGAGAAATGTTGAAGTAAAAAAAGATCTTTATATACTTTGAAATGTTTTGTGGGGATCTAAAATAAATATGATTATGGTATCATAGGAAGAGTTAGGGTAATTTATATGGTAAAGGCCATCTATCATAATGCAGTTAGGAAGTTTTACATAAAGAAGAAGCTTATCTTAAATAAATTAATTACATGCTACAATGATGAGGTTTTTATTTTGCCATTTTTAGCTGGTGGTATGAAAAGTAAAAACTGTAGTAGTAAGGATTATTGCTTGAAATTCTTGGATAAGTACAACTGAGTATGCTACATAACATGAAATGAACTAAGATGGGAATTCGAGTCTAAAACAGGTCTAAAATTTTATTTACTCATTAACATGAATATCATAAATATTGATATGTCCATTTTTGGAACTCGAGTAGCTATGTTTGCTTGACCTTTTGTTGCTTATTTTGTATTTGCCTAAATATCTGTTTCTCTAATTATATGACACTAGTTCTAATGGAAGATTCAACACAAGGAAATGACAAGGTTCAGGGAAAAGATATCGAAAAATATGAGAAATGGACGTCGAAAGAAAGCAATGAGCTTTTAAAACTCATGGTTGATGCTGTCACACGTGGTTGGCGTGATAGTAATGGTTTGTTAGCAAGATAATTGTAGAAAAACATATACTTCCTCATCTTAACCAAAAACTTGGGGTTGAAAAGACTTATGCCCAGTATAAAAGTCGTGTGAAATGGTTTTAAAAACAGTACAACAAGTATTCTAAGCTTATACGTCATAACTCTGGGTTCGGATGGGATCATGTGACGAAGAAATTCACTGCTCACTATAAAGTATTGGACAATTACTTTATGGTGAGCTTCCTTTATTACTTGATTTAGAAACATATGAAATTTGAGTTATTGGTTAGTGAAGTGTATGATTCATATATTAGCACTCATACATATTTTTTCCTTTAATAGTCACATTCTGAAGATAAAAGTTATCGCATAGATACTTTTCCAGACTATGAGGATGTGAGAATTGCAGTTGGAAGTGGGAGAGCTGTTGGGACACACTCAATTGCATTAGGGGATGATACTGATGCAAGAACTTCTTATACTGAAGAAAGAAGAGTTCGTGACAGTTTAATAGATGACTTCATGTATGATCCTGATACTGAAGCATTTATAGCAACCGATAAGCAAGATTTTATAAGTTCAGAGGTTTCCCCATCAATTTGAAAATGAAGTAGAACAGAATTTGAAGCAAAATCTAGTTCGTTTGAGCCCAAAAGCACTCAATCAGACGTTATAGACAAACTTGCTAGTACAATTGGCAAGATCACTCAAGCAATTGAATCAATTGACACCAGAGAGCCTAATTGCTAGAACATTATCAAGGAGATCCCAAACTTGGATGATGATGATCGTTTCAAGGTCCTTGATTTGCTTAATACAAAAGCAAAAAAGTCTGAGTTCTTGAGCATAACGTCCGAAGAACGTTCTAAATGGATAACATTTAAATTAAATTGAGACTTTGTTTTTTTTTTTTTTTTTTGGATATGATTGGTAGTAACTTTTGAAATTTTTGAATTGTTTTTTGTTTGATTTATTGGTTGTATTGTTTTGATATTTTAATAATTTGATGACAATTGATTCATTTTACGTGACATTATCAATATCTTTGTCTATGTATTAAATTTTTGTTCCTTCTATGTTTAGGTACTTCCATATATATAATGTCTAATGTTAACATACATGAAGATCATTAAAAAAAAGTGGGTGAGAATAAAGAAGATGACTATAAGGAAGCATTATATAAAACCAGACGGTATTTATGGATGGCAATTCAAGCAATTCTCTATGTGATAAATGATCTTGTAAATAATATGCATTGTGCACGTATTACACGTTCACTAACTAGACGACCAAAAACTAGATATGGATATGACTATATACATAAAATATTAAAGGAGGATCCAGAAAACTTTCGACAAGTTTATAAAATGTATCCAGATATATTTCTAAAATTAAGTAATGCCATTAGAGAAAAAACACCCTTACAAGATACTAGGTATATTTGTGTTGAAGAAATGCTTGCAACATTTCTACTTATTGTTGGTCAAAATACTAGATATTGCTTGATTCGTCAAAAATTTGGTCGATCACATTTCACTACTAGCCAAAGTTTCAACAAGATTTTACAGGCATTAAACAAATTTGCGGTAGATATGATGGTCAAATCGGGATTCGTTGTGTCAGAAAAAATAAGGGAAAGTACAAGATTTTATCCTTACTTTAAAGTAAGTGATGAAATAAGACGTATTATAATTTTTCTTTTATGTTTTCATTAGTGTTCTCGTGAATTCATTGTATTGTTGTATTATTTTTAGGATTGTATTGGAGCTATTAATGGTACCCATATTCCAGCAATGGTAACTGGACGTGATACAAGCAGTTACAGAAATTGTCATGGAACAATTTCTCAGAATGTTTTGGCCGCTTGTAACTTTGATTTGGAATTTATATACATGATTAGTGAGTGGGAGGGATCAGCACATGATTCTAAAGTTTTGAGTGATACTTTAACAAGGAGAAATGGACTTAAAATGCCACAAGGTACGACTTTATTATTTCGTTTTTTCTTTTATCTTATTATTTCGTAATTACTTGTTAATTTTACAAGTATTTTATATTCGGGTAAATATTTTTTGGGAGACTGTGGATTTCCAAATCGACGTCAGTTTTCGAGGTGTCCGTTATCATCTTCAAAATTTTGTTGGTCAAGGTCGTGACCCTAAAAATACAAAAGAGTTGTTTAATCTTCGTCATGCTTCCTTTAGGAACGTAGTTGAGAGGATATTTGGTATATTTAAATCAAGATTCACAATTTTCAAAACAGCTCCTCCATTTCCATATCGTACACAAGTCGAACTCATATTAACTTGTGCAGGATTATACAATTTTCTCCGGAAAGAATGTCGGTCCGATGAATTTCCAATCGAACCCGATAACGAAGATTCTTCATCTTTTTCGATTAAAGAGAGGGAAGATTTTGGACCATTTTTTGAGAGTCATGAACAAGAAATGGAGAATGCTAATGCATAGAGCGCTGCTCTAGCAGCGGACATGTGGAATGATGTTGGAAATGTTTGATTTTTTTTTTTTTTGTTGATCATTACTAAAATACTATTTTTTAATATTTTTATTATTTGTTAATCCACTTGATATAAGATGAAAAAGTACTTTATGTTTGGCGAAATATTTGTGTTTTTTTTTTGTTTGGAAAAAAATTGACATGAAAAATACAATATATTACTTTACATTTTCAATTATATGAGTTGTGGACGATTTGAATATATAAAAAGTTGTTAAACATATTACATTATATATGTTTAATATATTCTTTTAAAAAATATAAAAAGTCTTCAAAAATCTTCAAAGTCTTTAAAAGTCTCCACAAATCCAAGAAAAACTTTTATTAATTCCTACCAAATCCATAGAAATCACTTAAAATTCTACAAAGTCCACAAAAGTCACCCTCCCAAAGTCTTTAAATGTCTCAATTGAATACACCCCCTTAGTTATGTTTATTATTACTAGTCATTATCACATGTCTTACACGAATTTTGTATTTATCGTATTTTTATTAGTGTATAAATTTTAATTTTTTGAAAAGTTTTTGAAGTGATATTTAGAAATATTTTTATGATATAAGAAAATGATTGCAAATTATTTTTACAATTGCAATAGTATTGTGTTATTTAGAATGTTAAGAAATATCATACTGAAAATTTAAAATAATTAACAAAAACTTTAAATTCATCCGAGAAATGCTATGAAATGGATTTGCAAAAGAAAGTCAAAATCCCAACAAAAGCACAACTTTGGTATAGCTAATTATTTTTCTAGAAATTATTGTCTTGCCTAATGTTAGTTTGGTAAATTGACGTTAATTCATTTTTGTTGGAATAGTGTGATGTTTGATGTTAATTTGGTGAATTCATTTTTGTTGGATTATCGAATATTTAGTGTTGCTAATTTTATTGTGGATGCTTAAAAAAAAAAAAATTGCTCTATAGTTCGTGTGAGCAAAGTGTGGAATTACTCCACACATTACTTTCTTCCACATCACATTGTCTCTATAAAGTTTAATAATCTTATTATACACAAAAGAATTTAACTGGTACTCTTTCTTCTTCATCTAAGAAATAACTAATCAAGTATCTTTTACCTTATTCGTGTGAACATAATAGTCAACAAGTATTAATGTTTTGCGATTCCTTACCAAACCCGAATCATCTAATAATCTCCAGATTTTATCTGCAAGTTGTAAGAGTCTTTTCTAAACAACTTTTGAGCAATGTATTGACAGTTTAATTCTTGGCTATAACCCAAAAGTATAATTTCATTAAAAATAATGTCTGTCAATACTTCGAAGAGCTGTTATCAAGCAAGTGTAAGATATTGAATTTGGGTGGTATTCTTTCTAGAGCCTCCATTTGTGAAAACAATGCCATGACATTATCAATATCCTTTTCTTTGAAATTGTTATCTATAGAATTTAAAACAAAAAAAATCATTAATAATAATTAATGTATTTAGTCTAATTACTATAAAAATAAAACTAAAAAATTGAGACGTTGTGGACTGTGTGCGGACACTCCACATATTGCGTGCGAAGTGTTCACATGATGTGTGGAGAGATGGTCTCTAACTCTTCGCACAGTGCGGCGAGTTTTTTTTTGTGCTCATGACAGTTTATATATACTATGTCAAAGAAGTAGGGAAAAATTGATATTGCTAAAAAATGGAGAAAGCTAGGGAGAGTGAGAGAGAGTGGAGAAAAAAATTACAAAAATTATAAAAAAAAGAAAGAAAATCTCTCCGAATGGTGTAGAGTGCAATTTCCGCACTGTGCGGAGAGTTCTCTCTGCACCGTGCGGAGAGTGCACACCGCACCATGCAGAGAGTTCTCCAACCCTCCGCACTATGCGAAGAGTTCTCTCCAACCCTTCGCATAGTGCTCTCCAACCCTTCGCACAGTGCGGAGAGATGACTCCTCACTATGCGGAGAGTGCGGAGAGGTGAAGAGATGGCTCCGCATAGTGCGAAGAGATAGTTTCCAACTCTTCGCACTGTCGGAGTTTTTTTTCTCATGGCAGTTTATATATATTAAAAAAACAATGAATAAAACAACCAATTGCAATAAATTTTAAGTTCAACAATCCAATTGGAAAAAACAGCTTTCCCATTAACCAAACTAATAAAAATGGATGAAATGGACCAATTGTAATAATTTTTGCAATTAGTTTTGAAAATTTTGTCGCCTATTTTTCCCAAAAGTAATCATATTAAATGTGTCAAAGCCATCAGATTGAATTTCAGAAACATACACAATAGAGTCTCGATTAAAAAAAATGATTCGACAGCACACAAACCACCTCTTGACACCAATAATAAGCAAAAAATGTTACAAGGAAACATTCAAACCTTGATCAACGATAAACAGGTTAGTGAGTTTTATAATTGAAAATAATTAAACTAACCTGAGTTTGAAAATCACAGGATTAGAAGCTGCCTTGTAAACATTATCCACAATTTCCTTAAAACTGGGCTTCAAGCCGAGACTCTGATCTATCCAAGCCACATTAGCGAATGACAAGCGAGGCCTACCAAGGGGGCCACCGTCAGCGAAAATTAGAGTTACAAGCTGGGAGCCAATCACCAATTTCTGGGCAAAATTTCCACTTTTCTAAGGAGATTTTGTTAAACTTGGAACAAAGATAGAGAGAAAAAGATCAAACACAAAAAATACAGGTTGAAGGAAATGGAACAATCATAAACAAAAAGAGGAAAATGAAAATTTCAGGATAGCTTCAAAATATCACTTTTTTGAAGCACATTTTGATCATAATATGTAATGAAACCAAGCTCAATCTAAAACCCAATTTATAACCAAATTACACAAAATCTGAAACTCAAACATATATAGGGAAACACATTTTTGCTTTGATTTGGGTTGGATTTCTTAAAAGATCGAAAACAAAATGGGGAAAAATCGATCATTCAACAACACAACTTAAAAACCAGAAGAAACAGACATAAGAGTGAGAAATTGAAGGCGTGAGAAGTATACTTACCGGTATATGTCTCAATTCCTGCAAATTGTTTGTATTTTTTCCTACCATATAGAGAGAGAGAGAGAGAGATTAGGGTTAAAGCAAGAGAATTCTGAAAAAAATATTAAAAAAAATCTGTAGGAAGAGCACCTCAGAAAAGTAATAAAAATGAATTCCTGCTTTGCGCCTCCAGCGTTCGACTGCTTCTTTGCCCATTGTCGCTCCAATAACCACAAGCAAAGGCGCAAGAATACTGGTTGCTATGTAGGCTCTGATTTGTGTGAAAAAGGGGTTACTTGTAATATCTGATTTTTGTGTGAAAAATAGAGAAACAGAAGATTGTAGGTATGAGCAAGAGAAATGGAAACGATAGTTGCGTGTTGAAATTGAAATAATTTTGAAGCTGTTAAAATCGGGATGGGATGAAAGAATGTGATTCAACACTATTGTAGATATTGCATCTCCAGAGATTAGAAAAGGCATGACCATAACGTATGAAAATAGAGAATGGAAAAGTTAAAAAAAATGACGCCATTTTTTCTCTTGTACAGTAATTTGGGATTGGTTTACTATTCCTTCTATAGTAGCAACTACTTCCCCTTTTTAATAGAAGTTAGA